AAAATATATAAATTTTTGAGAGTAAAATCATGACAGTTGTAATGATCTCGAGTGTACGGAATACAGTATATCAATGGCAGGAATAAACATGCAAGAAATTAAAGCAATCAATAAATAACTCAGTAGCATCATCCTATATTCTCATATATGTTGGTTGTTTTTTATGAATCTATACAACGATTCTACCTCGTTCACCTACCATAAACCAAACAATCTCAATCATTTCCCGTAGGGCACACCACAAACCACTTTAGGAAGGGCGTATACTGTCTTACACGACACTGACAAATCCTTCCCAAGAAAGATATATCATCTCTCAGCCTCAAATCTACTTGAACAATAATGATCATTTTCACAAACAATAATTTACTACAAGTGTTAGGTAACCATCTCACCCCCACTAGGATAGATTAACCTCTAATACTCTACGGTAACTCTCGAAGCAATTCAAGTCTGTCACACCCAAACCATAGAGATGAAATCACAATTTTCTCAACAACCGTAATCTTAACCAATCACAATTTTCATAAAAACTTAAGTATCACAATTTCATAATTCTCAATAAACTATAGTAATGGAGGAATTAAAATATGCAAACGATCATATTAAGAAAACCTTCACAATTTTGATATCAAAATTCTAGAGTTTTGTCAAAAAAATAATAATTTTTTGGAACAAGAACAAGTAATTGATTGAAAAATCAATTTAAACAATAATAGGAATTTTAGAAACCAAGAATTAATATATCTCTCACAATAAAACATGTATTTTGAAAAAACTAGGGTTTTAAAAATTCAAGAACAATGTTTCTTGAATGCAAGACATGTATCTCGTTGAAAATCATATGTTACTCAAAAAAAATCAAGAACGAACAGTAGATTAATCAAAATAAATCAAAAATAAAAGATTATTTAGCATATAATAATATAGAAGATTTAAAACATAGATATTTATACTCTAAGTCTCAATGAAAGAACTTGTGAAAAATCCTCTACCTCAATGTTTGAAGACAACTCTAGCGTGTTTGAATCAATCTCAAAGCAAGAATCCCTTTAAATCTTGTGTCTTCTCCTTCTCTCTTGCTCTCTAGGGTTGAAAATTGATCAAAAATGGCTAAAGGGACGTCCTTATGGTATTTATAGGGTGAAAAACAAAAAAAAAAACTCTAAAATTGATCGGTGGCGTCCGAATAGTTCTTGGGAGTCCGAATGGTGCCAAGTCACTGTTTTTTGATGAAAATAAGGTTTCACGGTAGGGAGTGGCGTCTGGACGGTTATGGGGGTGTCTAGACGGTACCAACTTCTATCCTAACTTCTGGAGAAATTTTCACCTATTTAGAAGTCAATTCAAATTTTCATGAAATACTCTTTTGTAACCCTTGAAGTCTAGTTTCTACTATCTAAACATAAGCTCAATCGGAATTTGGAGTAAAAAGTTATGACTAAAATATTATGGTAGCGTCAAATTTCTTTATACCTGAATTCTTTCTAAAATGCGCTTTAAATCCGAAATACTTCCTAACTTCTAATACACATTATATTACCTCTCCCAAAGTTTATCAACCTTCAGGATTCAATGAAGGCCTTATTTTGACCTACAAATATTTAGAAACTTAACTGATCACTCTTTTCAAGCTTAAACACATTCGAAACTAAGTTTTACTCGAAAATCAATTCGTCTGAAACTCAAATTCATGATTAATATTTTAACAACGATTCAAAGTTTCTACGATCCTTTTATTCATCATATGAGAAATATTAATATGATATTATTCTTATTTAATTCTAGTATGGGGTCTTACACTATCATTAACCCTTGTAATCAACAACTTCACTGCCTTGTTTACATTGCATGGTTCACACTCATTGAGCACCATTGCCTCAAGCGAGAGATTATGGCTCAAGGAATCATCAGACACCACATCAACTCATGGTTGTGTCTGTGTTGTTGATGCGATGAATTTGGATCTTCAATAGCTAGGGTTTGCAAAGACGGTTATGGAACATTGTCGTTTTCTGGTACTGTGTTGTTATTGTTTATGTTGCTATTGTCGGCAACGGTGCTATTGTTTTTGGTGGCTATTGTAGAGGTGATATTTGTGACGATGGGGTTGGTCTTGAGGGATTTCTGGTAAGGGAGAAGAGAGAGAACAAAAATAGTGGAGGGGGGGGGAAGAGAGAGAGCGAATAGAGAGAATATTTGTGAAAAATAATGAAACCAATGTAATTCTTTAAAGGGTGCATTTTTCGGTTAGGGCAATCTTGGGCAAAATGTCTATACCCTTGACACCCGAAGCACTTGGCCTTAGGTGACGGTTGACCTTGATGACTTTTATTTTTTCAGTAACCTTTTAGATTAGTTCCGCCCTTGTTAGAAGGTCTATCTCTACCTTTCTTAGAGAATTTTTTTATATTGTTTTTGAGAAACTTCTTGAACTTCTTCTTCGGTGTTTCGCTTGGTAAATTTCTTGGGTTCGTAATTCAAAAGCAAGACATCTAGCTAGATCCAGTAGAGGTTAAGATCATTCTGGAGATGCCACCTTCAGACACCTTAACATTTAAAATATTACACATAGATCCCCTGAAGTTTGTACGCACATAACACTTAGACTCCTACTATCAATGTTAGTATATCTATTAGTAAATTACACTTAGACTCTCTAAAGTTTGTAAACATGTAATACTTAAACCACTTAAGTTTAAAATGTTATATTTAGACCAAAAATACTCCAATCAAAGATAGAATATCAAATATTTTAAATTTTACCATAAAAATTCATGTTATATTATGACATTTATTGAAATAAAATTAAAAATAAATTTTTATTTTTTCTTAAAAAATTATAATTGGTGTATAATTATACTATCTATTAGAATTTAATTTGATCATTTAAATGACCAAATTAAACTACCAAATTACCTTAATTAAAGATAGAAGATATTCCATTACAGTTTGATTTTATTTCAATAAATGATACAATATAATATGAATTTTGGTTGTAAAATTTAAAATATTCAATATTATATCTTTTATTAAAATATTTTTGGTCTAAATATAAAATTTTAAATTTGAGAGGTCTAACTATTAGACACTTACAAATTTTAGAGGGTCTAACTATAATTTACTAACAGATATTTTAATATTGATAGTAGGGGTCTAAGTGTTACGTACGTACAATTTTAGAGGATCTATGTGTAATATTTTAAATATCAGCGACAAACCCTAGTGTAATTCTCCCTACTTTTTAATGTCTGACTACCTGATTAAAATTTTAATCAATTTTATTATTTTATATGGCATTTTATTGTCTAGAGATATTAAAATTATTTTTTATCCATATTTAGGTATTATGTGACAAATTTATGATAAAAAATTATTAGCATTCTGGACATTGTCTGCTTGAGGAATCATATAAAAATACTAGTTATTACTTATGCCTGAAGGCACAAAATAATAAAAAAAATAGTTTACAATAAACATATTTATATTCACATTCAAAATTAAATCTAAAATATAGAAGAGAGAGAACAAAATTTAAGTTCTGGTTGTAGTGAGGGTCAATGGTGGTAGTTGTGGCGGTGGGTGATAGTAATGGTTGTAGTGGGTGACAATGACCGTGGTAGTGGTCGCAGCCATGAGTGGCAACAATTATGGTGGTGGCGGGTTTTGGGTGACGATGGTGGTAGTGGTAGTCATGGGTGACGGTGGTGGTAATGATGGGTGTGGGTGTGTGTGTGGGTGGTGATGAGCGACAATGATGGTGGTTGGCAGTAATGGTGGTGGAGCGATGACAGTGATGATGGTTTTGTAGTTTGTGGGCAGTGATGATGGTGGTGGCGAATGACAATGGTAATATTGGTGGTAGGTGTGGTGGGGGGTGGGTCACAGTGGGTGGCGGTAGTGGTGGGTGATGACGGGTGATAGATGATGACGTGTGGTGCTGGGTGGGTGACGACTGGTGGTGGTGAGTTTATGTTAGTGGGTGACGGTGGGTGGTGGTGGTAGGTGCTGACGATGGTAGATGGGTGATAGTGGTAATAAATATAAGAATCATATGACAATGGTGGTGGGTGATGGCGATGGACAAAGGTGGTAACAATTAGTGGTAGGTAGCAAGGATGGTAGTAGGGGGAGGGGGTGGCGTGGTGGGGGTGGTGGTTAGGCAGTGACAATGGTAGTGGGGGGTGCCGGCTGTGGTGGTGGGGTAACGACAGTGGTTATGGTAGTAGTGGTGGTGGGGTGACAACAACGGTTATGGTGGTAGTAGTAATGGTGGTGGTGATAGAGGTGATGGAGGGGCAATGACAGTAGTGTCAGGGTTGGTGATGGTGGTGGTAATAGGGTGGCGGTAATGGTGGTGGGGGTGGTGATAGTAGGGGGGTGGAGGTAGGGGCGGTGACAATTGTGGTGGCGGGGTGTTAGTGGTGGTAGTGGTGATAGTGGTGGGGGTGGTGATAGTAGTAAAAGTGTTGATGAGGCAGTTTCAAATACTATTTTTTTTAAAATACTTATAAAAATTTATAAACATTAAAAATATTTATAAAAAGTCAACCCCGAACACCTTTAGGAGCTTATTTTCTCTATTAAATTTAGAGTATTAATATTAGTCGTCAGATTAATTTTAAAATAAAATTTGAAGATATCTCAATTACGAATAACAAAAGTCATTTTATTTATTTTTTGAGATTTTAATTATATTGTACTTTATTATATAGATATTTAATATTTTATAGATTAAAATAATATAATTAAATTATTACACACCACGATAAGACAAACTTGTACCCAGAGACCTTTAATACAATTAACCCAATTATTTAACGTAAACATCAATAATAACGTGATATAAATACGTTAACCAGAAAAGAAGAAAATCGGGCCCACTTTATCATGCACTAAAACAAAGCAAAGCAGAGATTTGTGTGTTGTGTCCTTTGCCTCTCTCCCTCTCTCTCTCTTTCTCTCTCTGCCCAAAACGAATTAAGGACATCCGAACATCAATGGCCTTTTATCTTCCTCTGTTGCATTCAAAAAATTGCATTTCAAACCCATCTCGCAAGTACCCGCCACTATTATCTTCGAGCTCGAACCATACTTCTCCTCCAATTCTTCATCTTCTTCATCATCCCATAACCAAAATATCAACCCTACACAGACTGTCTTCGTGCACAAACTTTGCATTTTCTCCTCTAATTACCATCCAGATTGTAAACAAATGCTTCTCACAGAGGCAATCCACCCAAAAACAAGACGAAGAAGAAATAGAAGAAGAAGAAGAAGAAGACGCAGAAGAAGGGGAAATTCAATTCGAGAGGCTATTTTCCAATCTCAATCAAGCTACTCTGAAGGGAGAACCTGGTGCATATATTTCACACTTATTTTTCTAGTTCTCCTCATGTTTTTAAAGTTTTACTGATCACGATTTTTCATTACTGTTTCGCAGGAAGCCTTATCAGTGCTATTTTCCTAGTCGCTGGCACCACCGTATACCTTCTCTCCCACTCACACACACACACACACACAAACATATTCAATATTCACTCATTTGTCTGTTTAATGTAGTATTCTCAAAATGCAATGACTTCGCAGATTCTTAAACGATTGTACTTCTAAAATTGCTATTTTTCTCTTGTAATTTGTGCAAAAAGTTCCCATTAGTTGTATATAGATGCCCATGCCCTACTGGGTGGTGTTGAGCGGTATTTGAGGCAAGAACTGGAACAAAATTCGTGTTTCTTACCAGGTATAGACCTAGGTTCGCCCTCTCTGCTATATGCCTCAAAAGAATATGATCCTAACCTCATCCAAGATTTTATCTTGCAAAGGATTTTTTTTCCCAATTGGGATCTTATGTGAAATAGTGAAAACAGTTTCATATTAGGAAAATCAGAAAGAAGAACACAGTTATGAAAAAGTCTTTGGCTGTCTATGGTTTTCACCTCAGGAAATTTTAAAATTTTGTTGATCATTAGAAGTTGCACATAAGGATAAACGAAACCAAATAGAAGTGGAGAGGAGGCAAAATGAGGTTCAAAGGTGGGGTACAACAAGCCACACTACCAAGTCAATGGCTGACTAGAGAAGGGCCTGAGGACCCTTGTTAAGCGCACTAAACCTCACAGGGGTTCTCCTTAATGTGGATGAATTTTTTTTCATTTATTAAATAGTGAAGATACGGGAAATCAAACACTAGCGAAGCTGAGCGGAGGGGAGGTGAGTCTCAAAGGTGGGACATACAACGTCAAACAATCTAGGCAATTGCCAATTATGGGAAGGATAAAATTTTTGAATTAGAAAACATGTGACACTGTTGCAAACTCAGCTGGTTTTGTCTTTTTTATTTTTGATAATATAGACTAGCAACTAACATTGATTTTGTGTGTCACAATGGTTTTTCCACACATAGGTAGGTGCAGGGATCCTTGCAATACCTGCAGTGACACAAGAAGCTGGGTTTCTGGCATCTGCAGTTACCTGCATTCTTTGTTGGGCATTTATGGTAATTATTTAGCCTAATAGTTTTCTGCTGTTTTTTATTTGTACATTTATTTAGCCTACTCATTTGTCTAACACACGGTATTTTCCATATATATCTTGCATATGTCAACCCTGTTAATAACTTGGTCTTTCTAATGTGACTTGGAATAAGGAAAATTTTGTTTAGGTGTAGTGCTAACTGCCAAGTGTTGTACTCTGATTTACGATGAAATGAAACACACCTCTTACTGATGCTAAGTCATTGAACTTCACATTTGATTTTTGAATTTATCCCAGCGTGCAATTTGTTAGTTTTTCCTATTTTACTCTCCTGTTGTTCTTCTCTACTTCCCTCTCTGCGAAACTGTGATTGAATTTGGTAGGACAAGCACATTGATGCAGGTTGTGAGTGGACTGCTCATTGCTGAAGTAAATGTGAAGACAATGTGTGAACTGGGTTCTGGTGGTGTGTCATTGGTAATTTTTTGTGCTTTATCTACTCCAAGCTTGCAATGCTTTGCACATGTACGCTTACAATGCTTTTTTCTTCAAGAGGGCAGAGTATTGATAATAATTAATATGTAATCGCTCACAATTAAAACTTCATTGAATTTTGCACTCTTTTTGCTACATGTAGTGGAAGCACATTTTTTGGAAATAGTGGAAGATGTGAGTAACAGAAGATGATAAATATTGTTCTTATTCACCGTCGGAATGAAGGAAAATTTAGGTGCTCAAAAGCAAGTAGAGAATGTGAATCATATCTGTCTATACTACTAATAAAAGTACCTTAATATAAAAAATTTTTGATTCACTATTTTACCCTTATAAGAAACTATAAAGGCTAACATATCCTTTTGTATTTAAATATGCAAATTACCATTATCCCCCCTCTATACTTAAATAACCAACTAACCTCTACCATATCATGTAAATCATTCTATATTTGCAAAACTTTTAGATGAACGTGTTACTTTTAATAGGATATATAAAAACATTATTCTTTTTTTTTTTAAATCCCAATATTAATACACATCAACAATTTTATTGATACAATATCATCTTCGGTGCCAAAAAGATCACTATATGTATCTTTTTTTCTTCATCCACAATACAAATAATTTAAGTATGATAAACATGAGATAATATCTAATTTAGCTATATTATTAAATTTTTATGTATTTTATCAAATGTTTTAACGAAAACTGTCACGTGCAATGTACGTTGTGCATGACTGGTATATATAAACGGCGCTTATTAATTTCACCTCTTTCTTGCATGGGTTAGAATATATATCTACAAATACAGATTTTCTTCACAGTCACCTTTTGAATTCGCTCAATTTCTAGAAACTCGCTATTGCAAAATTTAAAGTTTGACATTTAGAATCATGAGAGTTAGAAGGATTAACTTTATTGGCAGATGATTAAATCTTAAAAGCTCATTTCTTTAATCTTTTGGGGTGAATTTTGGTAATGTTAACTTGGGATGCTTAATTTAGATTTATATCATGCCAAGAGCAAAAAACAATGTTGATCAGTTCAAAACCTACTTTCTTGTGGCTGATTTCAGGTATCAATGGCTATGAGAACCCTTGGGACCATTGGGGTACAAACTACTTGGTAATTCAGTTGTTATAATTTTTCTGTTAAATAAGCCAACTATCACTAATGTAATTCCTAATCATCTGTTGTGTGCATAAATTAATGTCAAAGAAATTTATTTACTAAGAAGCAAAGACACGGACACGCCAATACGCTATTTTTCCAGAAAAGTAGGACATGGACACGATAGGGGACATGCTAAATATTACATATTTATTTATATATGTATATGATCAATGATCATATGATAAAATAAATATATTTTAATGGTAATCATTCAATTCATCCGTGATGTTAATTTAAACAATTCACATCACAATATCGTTGAATTAAAAAAAAAAATCAGATATTACATTTATCATAAACATTCATGATCCAACAATCAATGATCACACAATGTTTTATTTTCAAAAATATTTCACTTTGTAATCCTAATTTTCATTCAATTTCAAAAAGTTATAATTTCACAATCTTATTTTTCATCAAATTATTTTTATATAAAATATTTAATTCATTTGTCTATAATTTCATAATCGTGTCCAAAATTATGTTTATATCGTGTCCTATGTTCGTGTTGGGATTGTTACTCTTTTATACTATAACTTTGACCTTTATCTTTTTAAAATTATAAAAATATATTTTTTTTAAAGTTACTTTACAAGTTTTCAAAAATTGAAAAAAAGTTAAAACCAGTGTCCCCAACGTGTGTGGGAAAAAATATAACAATAAAAAAATTGGAAACTCATTTTAGCATGTCCGACATGTGTTTGAGTGTGTCCGTGTCCCAGATGTGTCCAACAACGACATTTTGACCAAAATTAAGTGTGTACTTCCTAGGGTAAAGGTATATTTTTAATAGTAGAAGACTTTGGTGGACAAGATATTGATTGTAATATCTTTTGTGCACTCTATATTTGTTATCCGTTATGTGAGCACAAAAATATGGGTACTTGGACAGTTTCCAATAATTGACTGCATTAGGGAAAAGCCACCAGTCAGGCCAATGTATTTCATAATTTGATTATGCTCATTTTACTCAAAGAAGGGATCAAACCCACTTGACAAGGTCTTATATCTATCTGATTTTTGCTCATGAAGTGTCGGGGCTAATTGTTCAAGTGAGATCTGTCGAGGCCTTGATGAGAGGCATGCATGTATATGTAACTAAGTAACATATACATGAACATTACATCTACTAACCAATAGATATTGACAGAAGGCAACAAATAACACAAGAAGTGTCTTTGAAGTGATGACAATCTACAAGGGATGTTCGTGAAATGTTTCTTAATATTTAAAACGTATACGAGGATAGTGTTGTCTTTATTTTTTTTCAAGGATAATAAAGGCAATAATTTTTTTTCCAAATATCCTGATATTATGCATATATATGTAGAATGTATGGGAAAATATGTAGAACATATATTGACATTATAACTATTTACCAGCAGATTGTAACTCGAAGTATAAGACATATTTCAGATAATGGGAGCTATGTTTTGGAAATTATGACGTTCTACAAGGAATATAGATGGAATTTTCCTTATTATTAATTGAATTATCTATTTTTTCCAAGTGTAATTTAGTCTATCAAAAGTTTTTTCCAGTATCGTAGCAGTGACGTTATGATAATCGGCAAATGCTAATAGGAAATATTAGTCAAATTTCAATTTATGAGGGGTGTCTTTGAAGTTAAGGCAATCTACGAAGAATGTAGATAAAAGTAACTTTTCATTTTTTAATCAACAAATGGTGACGGGGGGCATCAGTTAAACTCAGAAAATACAAGAGGTGTCTTTCAAGTTGTGACAATATATAAGGGGTGTAGATGAAATATCTATCTAATAAGATACGTAACACTTTGAATTTTTTCCCCACATATTTTTCTCACTCATTTCTATCATGTCACTCATTCTATCACAAGTTGAATCATTTAATTTTTGATTAATTTGTGACTCAGTACAATTTTTATTTCAAACATTGTTCAGATACGATAGTGTACACGTATTGATATTTTTTGAGATCATGCATTTTGAGAAATTGTTTTTAAAAATAATGGGTAGAAATTAATTTCAAATTATGAAATTAAAGAAATGTAAGGAAAGAAAAATTGTTATTTGATTATTGGGATTTATTTTTTGGATGCTCAAATTTTATTTTGTATGGTATCTTCAGGAATGAGTTATGACTAGTTTCTTAATATTAATTGAGTCATCAAAAGGTGTAAAAATATATTATTATGTTTACGCATTTTTTCAAGGGTAATAGAATCGATCAAAATTTTTTCCAATATCCTTTCATTGTAGCTGTGTATGCATATACGTATCCATAGAGAGAAATGTAATGAGGGAGCTTGGCCACCATCATAAACTAAAATCAAAATCCTGAACAACAAAAAACCGTCTATAGTTTGAGAGACACAGAGAGAGAGAATTTTCACCATGATATCCAAAACCCCAAACCCCACTTACAACCCTTTTGTCAAACCCACTGACAATTCTCAAACCTACATCACAAATTGAGTAGAAAATTATAAGTCCTAATAATTCTGAAACCCAGATCCCAAATTGCTTAAAAATGTGTGATCAAAATTTGGTTTTGTGTGGTGGATAGATTCGCTGTGACGACTGACGAGGGGCAATGGGTATGGTGGTGTATGTGAGTGCTTATTTGTGTGTGGTGGCGGTGCCGCGGTGGGCCATTGGGAGGTGTCTGTGTGAGATGGTTTGATGGGTGGATGTCGTGTGTGTGTGTGTGTAATGGCAGGGGTGGGTGGGCTGCCGTTGGTGAGTAGGTGCTGTGTGTGTGAGATGTTAAAAATGCAAGTTTAGCTGGCAAAAAATTAACTATAAACATTTATATTCTGGAAAACATAGCCTTAGTGGCATGTATATGCGCTGTTAAATCTAATGGGAAGTGTTAAGTTTGCACTTTGGTCATCCTTAATGGTCCAAGCACCTAATCTAGCAGTAAAAACCAAATTATGAATTCTGTATGTAGCTTGGATGTGCAGTTTTTCATCTACTAATACTGCTGCTCTTTTGTTGCAGTTGGTCATATATTTTCATACATTATGCCCTTCTTGTTGCCTATGTGGCCCGTTCATCAGATATTTTAACAAATTTCCTCGGCATTCCACTGTATGAACTACAATTTTGCTTTCCTGTTATGAATTTTTGAGTAGCCTGTGTTTTTTGATGCATGTATTGTATTAAGTTTTTGAACTATTCTGTCCAGATATAAATCCAGAGGAGTCATTATCAATTTTGATTGCATGGTTCTCTTTCTTGATAATTTCTGTAAATCATGATACTATCCATCTTTCGTGATCTGACAAATTCCATGCATTTGAGGCAATTGCGAATTTCAATCTTCGGAAGTCAACCTCACTAATGTGCTCTATCCATGTGGCATTCATCATTATGTCTTGTTTGTTTGCTTTTCATTCCTTGAGCAGTCATAGGAACTCCTTCCAACATAGGGAGTGAGTTTATTATAAGAAATTTCACTTATTATTTAGTTTAAATAATTTCTTGTATATGAAGCATTAAGCTACAACAGTCAACAGATGATAGAGATTATTAAGATATCTATATTTTGTTTGCATCCTTTTTATCATGCCATCTGAATCATGCTGAAGTAATTATTTCTGGTGTGCCCAAAAAATTCATATTATAATCTGAAATTTTGAGTGAAATCATATTGTTGTTCTATTTACTTATTTCTATAAACGCTGTCAAACTAAGTTCACCTAAAATATAATCAAGTATAGACTGAAATCTAAGTACAATTTCCTGCTTTTTGACCTTAAAGGACAAGACCAACATCATGCATTCAACTTTCTTGTTATGGAGTCTTCCAGCTTATTGATAACGAATAAAATTGGTGTTAATGCTGAAGGAAAGAGCTCTTGGCTTCTGCTTGGTTTAATTTGTAATATATATATATATATATATATATATATATATATGGAAGCAGAAAGCAGAAATGAATGGGAAATTGAAATGTAAAATAAACAATAATAATTACACACAAGTATATTTACAATACTTACTGGACTAGCACTAAATGGGCTAGCCTACTAAGATTGATACAAGTGTGGGGAATAGTAGCATCTCATACTTGGAGCTTACAATCAGCACAGTATCTGTTTGTAAACGAGGAAAATAAAATGAGTGAATTCTCGAGAGAGAAAATCTTGTCCCGCTTCTTCTGTCTGATCTCCCTTTATATAGAGTGGGGGGAGTGAGGTCTTAATTGCAATGATCAAGGCTTTTGCAAAGTAAGTAGACAAAGGAAAGGGTAAAGGACAAAAGTCTCTGCTTTCGGTGATAAAGTAGAAGTGAATTGCTTTTACTAAGGGAAAAGCAATCCTGATGGTCAAAAGGCTATCACTAGGGGGGACAGCCACATGTGATGGCCTTATCGTTACATGTGATGGGCAGCTTTTCTGTCTTATTGGGGAGACAGTAGTGATTGAAGCCATCACAAGTAAAGAAAAGAATCACGGGCTAGCTAGATCTGCAGCATCTAGGTCATCATATCCTTCATACGGATCTTGGGCAAATGGGCTCATGGGTGGAGCTACTGATCCGGAGGATGATGCTGGGGATGAACCAGAGTTGCTAGCAGCTTGGGCTTGCTGGATTAGTTCTTGGGCCATTGCAAGCAATTGGGCCGCTGTTGGAGCTTGCTTTGTAGAGTCCTTAGAGGAGGATCTCTTGGGTTTTGACTTGGTCGAACTCTCAGCAACAATCTGTTCTTCTTTAACAGGAGGTGATGCTGAGACCTTGAGTGTTGGCATGGAATTTTTTGAAGGAGTAACGGGAGGCAAAGGTTTTGGAGCTACTTGTGGGGCTGGAACCTTGACTGGATAATCCTTCTGAATGGCGTCGAGAATAGTCTGGTATTGGTACCTTGGCCACCATTTCACAGAATATTGTCTGCAAATATGATGATCAATAATTCTCCATTGCCACCTGCAAATCCAAGATATTCTGTACCTGCAGAAAAAGGTTAGTA